ATATATCTTAAGAATCCACACTAAGTAAGAAATTTCTTATATATCTTAATCTTTTTAGATTTATATTTTTTTTAGAAAACTTATTAGTATCGATCTCAATCCCACGTACTATTAGATTTCCTTATTTGAGTGATTTTGGATTCACCATATCCAACAATATATTCCCCGGAAGATGTTATTAGGTTTTGCACCAACAAATTCGAATACCAAAATTGTTACTTGGAATCCATTTGGCAACATTAATGAATTCGGGGTTTGAAACCCTGATGTTATTATACGGTTTTGCCCCAATAAATTTTAGGGTTTCGGACCCCAAAATTGTTGAATCAAATTGACAGTAATAAAAGTTTCGTGGTTTGAAATCCTTGCAATCCCAAAATTGTAAAAATTTCATTGGTAGACTTTTATTTTTCAAAATCCGAAGTACAGGCATTTGGGTTATTTACAAAAGGAAATTGTTTCACGCGGGCTGGATTGCATTTCTACAATATGCGGTCTCAAGGTATAAAGCATCTATCTTAATGATGGAAGCAAATAGGTGGTCTATCTAATAACAATTGAAACTAACGGCCCAAATATTTCTTCATATAATAATTAGTTTTATTTATTAATTTTAATTATTTATTTTTATTTTTAATTTTTTATATTTATGATCTCCATATTAGAGATTACATGTCCTTAAAAGTTAGGTCCGAAAATCCAGCTCAAAAATAGATTTTTAAGAGTCTGACTCATTGACTCATAAAAACCATTCCCTTTTTAAAAAAGCAGAATAAAAACGGGTATATTTTTAAATAACGTAAAAAGAGGGGGAATTTAGTAATAAAAGTTAATTAAAGGGGAAGGGACGCAATTTTCTCTATTTTAAACTCACACCATCATGGCTCTAGAGGAGAAATACTTCGAAGGTGTAGTCAGATATGTTTTTCTTGGGCAAATAATTGATAGGTTTGAGATCCTAGATTTATCTCCATTTTTCAAGTGGACCGCATTTAACCATAACAGTATATTAAAATTTCCCCTATTTATTTTATAGGTAGGGTTTTGGTGGGTCAGACAATGTACCTGTTTATATGCGTCCCCTCTCCAAAATCCATCTCAGATCCAAAATTTGAGAGGTCGATAATATTGCCCATGGCAATCATGAATCTTCGATTAAAAAATATTATTTATTAATTATTTTGTACCATTTATTTCATTTCATCCAACAGCTAGAGCTACAAAAAGTTGGATCTGTTTTCCATCCTAAATTTCATGTAAGGGTGCGGTTTGTATAGAGCCAAGGTTCTAAACAATCAAAGTAAAACACACTTTCAAATATAGATCTAACAAATATTTGAAAACTTGAAAATGGATGGTCCAAAACATACCTTACAAGATAAATTATTTCCAAAACTTGAAATATTTTTTTCTCATGTCCATGCATCTTGATTGTGAGATGATCAATTTGAAGATATTTAGACATCAAAACAACCTCTTCTAGTGAAATTTTTGGAGTGGGTTCTAATTTGATTGTTTAGAACCTCAGCTCTATATAAAATTTTTCCTTCATGAAATCCCTCCTCATTTCGATCCAAAAAAAAAAACACTAATGTTTGGGGAGAAAACCCCATTTATTCCTCACTTTATTTACTATTAACGCTTAGTGTCATTAACAAACCATACTGTAGAAATGCAAAGCTACAGGAATTTAATCCACGGGTGCTGCAGAAGATTGAGCAGTTCGAGAAGCACAGTAAGTGGATCGATTTGTACGCAGATGACAAGGAGGCAAGCAGTCTCAAGAAGATGCAGAGGTGGTAGCAGAGGAACCAGGTGCAATTTTGAGTGCCTGCTCCAAGTGGTGGTCGGTGTCAGGAGGGTGTGCATCGATGCTTGTCCTCTCGGGCACCACCCACCGTCCGTCTTGCGCCCGCACCAGGCCCTTGTTCTCATCCTGACGCCAGCACGGCGGCATATGAAATTTCTCTTTCAGAATGGTGTCGCTCTTGTTGAGCAACGCCGGGTCTCTCTTGTAAGCTGGTTTGAAGCCACCTTTCGGCCCATTATATGCATTCACCAAGTGGAGGTAGAGCTCCAAGTTGTGCCGCGCCGGGATGGCGAGCCCGGCTTCTACAACCGGGGATACATTGTGGTCGAGTTCCAGCTCTACCCCCACGTGTGAGTAGCTCCACGGCATGATGTCCGCCACAATGTCAGGCACGGCAACATCCTCGTTGATGATCATGCCTGGTACCTGATATGAACCGTGGCAATGGAATGCACTTACAGAGAAGAATAAAACCCACTTTGAATGAGCCATTTATCACCAGTAAGACTAATTTTCCACTATCTACTAATTAACAGACTCGTACATCTTTGGTCCTGTATCTGATCATGAGTAATCGTCCCTCATTTTTCCTATTTGTAAAAACAGCTTGCTAATCATGAGTGATCTGTCCCTCATTTTTTCCATTTGGAAATTCCTTAATGCCACGTTATGTTAACAAGAAGATATTTTCTTAAAAATATATTCACATGAAAAAAATTTCTCATACAGTCATGTATATGAATATTTTCCTACCAATAGATCATAGTATATCATTCCACACCAATTAACAACTAATTGATGTAAAACTATTTACACACTTGACCGTGTGAGAGAATTTTTTCATATGAAAATAATTTTAAGCAAATCATAAAATAGGCTTGGAAATTAGGTTGGGTAGATTCGGGCCAGATCTTAATACATTACCGTTTTCCTAGATCATCCGATTTAGAAGTGTGGACTCAATTGTCTGGTTGGATAGGTCGGATCCAGCCCAGACCCAACCGGGTTGGGATCGATTGCAGTGTATCCCATAATAACAATTATCTTATATATTATAAACAATATAAAATAAATTATGATAAATTTAATTTTTCAATTTTGATTCTAACTCGATTTCGATCACTTAGACCCAACATATCCAATCAAGTTGGTGTCGATTGTTGGACCTTGTCAGGTAAGGTTGACTTGCCCTATTTACTTCTCCTATTGGAGCGTACTGTGGGGGTAAGTACCTAGGATAAAAGAGTGATTTAGAAGTTTTTTTTATCCGGGTCCATGTGAGTATCACTAGACGATTATTTCCGGAAAAACAAATTAGGATTTTAATTTTTTTAACACCTAAATCTTGGCCAAGTTCTTATTATTGGGACCTTAATTTAAAAGCCTATAGAGAGTCTTTTTTCTTTTACTTTTTTTTTGGGAAAAAGTTGTTTATTAAGTTCTAGAAGTTACATCCCCAAAATTTGGGGTCCACAAAATATTGACAATATGAGTTTTACTCGAGGGAGCAAATACATAGTATATGCTCATGCGGAATCAACAATTCTTCTTTTTAAAATTTTTTTTTGGGATTCATATAAGTATTACTAGGTGAGTATTTCTAAGAAAAAGTTTGGATCTTAACTTCTTGAACACCGAAAACTTGGCCTAGAAAATGGAGATTCTTTTTCAAGGTGTATTTTAAGTAAGGGCTGACCTGAAATCCTAATAGAAATAAAAGTATTTATTAACAATAGTAGGCAATGGCATTACCGATAGTGTATGAATTCACTTACAAGCTGTATTAATTGTTTTTAACTACTAATAGAATGGTATTATTTTTTTATAAAAATATCCATCCTACCTTTTTAAATGACTAAAAAATGCGTCTACTTGAAAAATATTGTATTACAGGTATTTTAGTGTCAAAAAATGTTGGAGCACTTTAAAGATGTACACTACCAAGTGGTGTATCCTAACAAAACCCAAAGTTAAAATACAATACCACTATAAACAGTGGGTTGTAAATGTAAAATACAAAATATATGAGATTATTTTTAAATTCTAAACATAAAAACATGATTTTCATTTAAATTTCATAAAAAACAAATAAATGAAATAAAAAATGACCAAAATACCTGGGTATTTGGTTATTTTTATTGAATTATTATTTTTATTGTATTTACCTTAGAAAGATACATGAAAGCAAATTTCATACGAATTCTCAACTAGTATTAAAAAAAAAACATCAAAAAAGAAAACAAAATGTGTGCCTTTGGATAAGCCTGTCCAATATATGAACCATTGAAGGGTGCACAGCCAAGATCGAATATGAACGATTGAAGGGTCCGAGTGCACACTCATCCTATTTACTATTTTTCTTCTTTGTTTTGTGTGTGAGAGAGTGAGTTTATGAGAGTAGTAGAGAGCATTTCCACAGTGAATTTGAACAAGTGTGTAATGGACATTCTTTGTGTACCGTGGGCACTTTGTCATGTTTGTTAAACACACGCAGGACGTGTATGCCAAGCTCATCACACCGATCTGCGAACCGCCGGTTGCCGACCCGGGGGCTGCCAAATGTAAATACAGTGATCGGCACACGCCGGCCATCAGGGAGGACATTCAGACCGGTCTCGGCAATGTCGTATGCGCTGAGCAATGCGAGCGCGCCTCCGAGGCTGTGGCCGGTGATGGTGATGCTCAGTTCATTTCCTTCATCCTTGTATCGCTCCATTAGGCGGCGCGTCTCAGAGATCACCTGCTCAAGGTTTCGAAAGCCATAACCAAAATAAGAAGAATACTACTGAAAATAAAATCAACTCAAACAAGGTATTCCCCATGGCCTAACATGGCAGAGTTAACAAAAAAAATTAACAAAGATCTTTTTCTAACAAAAAAAATTATATTAAAAACAACATAAAACAAAAAACTTTTAAGGGCCCAAATAGGCTTACAAAGTATTTTAAAAAATAGATTTAGAAATCCAAAAAAGGTCAAATAAAAATTGGGATTTATTGCGAAAAAGGAAAAAAAAACACCCACAAATAATTGCTGAAACCGTATGAATCATACACAAAAAAAATATAAATCAATCTCATTATTTTATTATTTTTCTAAATTTTTATAAATTTTATAATATCCCCAAGTTTAACAAGCACCTCGGAGAAATTGGGTCTCCCCTCTGAGTGGAGTGACTCGGCCGAGTGACGGTACACTCTAGACCGGCCTACATGGTCATAGAAAACAACGCACTCCTCCAATTGTTTTCCTTAGAGATCATATTGAGAAAACTAAAAACGGCCGTTATTAACCAAAATTTCCGACTATCAAAAGTTTTTTCACACCACTATTACCGTGACATAACACCGCGATTCATTACCGTTATACCAACTATAATAACGTTTTCGTAGATCATATACCTGCTCACGGGCTGAGTAGGAGCAAAACCCGCAGGCGGTCTCCTTCGAGTTGTACAAATCTAAGAACCCTGACTCCACCTTCACGTTGGCGTCCGGGCCAAAGTTGGGCTTGACCTGGTAGTCCATCACGTCCTCCACCCACTCCAGGTACGTCACGGTGCCGCGCCAGGCGAACAGGATGTCCCGCCGCCCGAGCTCCTTCACCACCTTGGGGTCGGTGGCCACCGACACATACCCGATCCAGTTCGCGTGCTGGCTCCACACCTGTGCGTGCAACGATTTCCTGAAGAATTTGCGCAGGTTAGAGGCTGAAGTCGCGTACAAGTAGCGGCTCACCTCGTAGCCGAGGTCATCCATGCCCAGAGCTCGGAAGAAGCTGCTCATCGGGTAATTGCAAGTTCCACAGTATCTGGAGTAGGTGCTGAAGTTGAAGGAGTCGTAGCACGCCTGCGCGAATTCCCCATAACGTATGATCTCTCGACGCAGTAATGGGTCCATGGGCTCAAGCAAACCTTTCCATTTGTTCTCCCCCTGTATCTCGCGCCACCTTTCCAACAGGGGACCCTGATGTTTCTCTGGTTCTTCCTCCTTCACTTTTCCTACGAACACTTCCTGCAGGTCCTCGAACTGTTCGTGCAGATAGGTTAGAAATGATTCGGTTTTACTGCTCTTTAGGGCGAGAGGCCACGGCCGGAGCTTCGATCTCGGTGGGAGGAGAGGCTGGAAGGTGGTGGAGATGGTGGTACGTGGGAGAGAGAGAGGTGACGCATTGTGGAGAGGAGAGGGAGCTTTTAGCAAGGAAGCCATGAAAGAACCAGGTGAAGCTTTCAAATTTGCAGGCTCTCTCCTCTTCTTTCGTTTACATAGGTTGTTTCGCGTGAGTTCAAGGTATGGATTTGGGAGTTGTCGCTTTCTATAGTACGTGTGGTGGACAATACACGTGGGCTACAACGTGCTGATGTACTATGCACAGCGTGGTCCGTATGTATCACGGGGGGTCCAATTTGGCCGAGATCTGGTTTATTTTGAAGAAATTTTTGAAATGATGCAATAACATTAAATTTCTGCAGAAGGATAATTTGGTGTCAGCAAATCTCCACCTTTTATTTTCCCTAGGCTTAAAAATGGGTGAGGTTTTTATAAAGCCTAGGATTTATGAAAGGGTGCAGTTCGCATACGCATGCTCTAGAGGTACTGTGTCCCTTCAAAGTTTATCATGGTATATAATTTCGATGTAAAATACTATTAGGTTTATTTCGAAATCTATTTTTTTATCTAATTATAAAATTTTAAATTTAAAAAATGGTTAAAATCAAATAGATCTATAAACATATGAAAATCTTGAAAATGGACGGTGTAGATAACATGTTGTAAAATGCACTATTTCTGAGACTTAAAATCTTTCTATTTTTTATGGCCATACATCTCGATGTCGAGATGATCAATCAAAGGGTTTTTCAACATTAAACCTACCATTTCGAATGGATTTTTGAGGTGCATCTGTAACTATAGAGGTAAGGTTGCAATCTTATATAAACTTTTTCCTTTATGAAAATAATATAAAGCCTCACCTCAAATCCTCGTCCGACACTTTCGACTTCCGTTTCGGAGCCTGCTTCAATTTGGTCTTAAAAATGAAGCAATTCGGTGCTTCAGCTGATTTGGGGGAAGACTTGAAGTTTTTTTGTAATTGAAAACAAATAAAAATATTTTTTAATTTTTAAAAATAAAAAAGTTAATAATATAGATTTATTAGTATATTCAATAATAAATAAAATAGTTAAAATATTACTTTAATATTATTAATTTTAATTTAATTTTTTAATACCTTGGAGTTTGGAGCACAATACTGAAAGATACTTGAATAATTATTTTAAATTTTAAAAATATAAAAAATAATTAAATAATTCCTTTAATAATATATATATATATATATATATATGTTATTTTTATTATTATTATTTTTTAACTTGTTGACACTGTCAAAGTAAAGGTTTGTGTTGCATTCGTACTCATGTAAATTTTAAAGGCAAGCTTTCTATGTTTCCCCTAAAGCATAAAACTTATGTACTTTTCCTTATCCAACCGTCCATTCTGAATGGAGGGCTAAGATTGCACTAATCATAATGTCATGTCTTTATGCTATTTTATTTTTATTTTTTTTTCTATAAACTATTGTGACACGAAAGTTTGTATGTCCAATCCCTTGTTAAAATCGCACTTGCGAAAATATTAAAAAAATATTTTCAATAAAATAAAATGACCAAATACACTTAAAATTTTCAAGATGTATTTTGGTCATTATATTTTATTGAAAATTTATTTTAAATATTTTTTATAGGTGCGCCCCAATGAGAAGATGGCTCGTACGGAATTTTATATTCATACAATTTGTATAAAGAAAACTAAAAATAAAATACTTTGAGATGTCGGATCTAAGATCAAACGGTGAGTGACTCTCTTGATCAAAATTGGACAGTTGGATGGTAGGGGAAGCATAGATCTTCTATGTTATAGGTTAAGTATAGAAACCTTTCCCAAATTTTAAAGCACAAGAGTGTAATCGGCTATTCAGTTCGCTTCGCTGGAGCAACACCCCCAAAGACTTCGGGTGCTTCGCCCCTCGAAGCAAAATATCAGCATGGCTTTACAATGGAAACCTTCATGATGGCATTAAAATCAATTCCCAACATAAAAAATAAAGTTTGACATTAAAAAATAGAACATATCTCGGGGACCTTCGAACACTTATTTTTAGGGTGAAATAGACGGCTTAGATAGTTTGTTACAATACACATTATTTTTAAAGTTAGAAATCTTAATTTTTTTTACAACCACAATTTTCAAGTCGAAATGATTTATGTAAAGGATTTTCAAAAGTTGAAACGCAATTTTGGACAAGTTATGACGTAAGGCTGTACCAACTTTGATATGGATGCAGTCCTATCAAACCACTTTCTTTTAAAAAGTCATATTGGTCGGCTAGAATATCCAACAACCCCAATCGTGGATCATCAAAGATCTATATTGTTCTTGGATCAGGATCTAGAGAAAAATTAAAAAATAAATAAAATAAAATAAAATTTAAAATAGAGGTATATAGGTGGGAAATTGGTTTGTTTGGGAGGTGTGGGGCTAGACAACGACAATATTAGATATGATTAAAGAAAAAGATAAGAGTGGCGCAGTGCGAGACCCATACCATTCTCGATCGAACGGATTCAATCCCCAATGATTTTACATCAGTGATATGGATACTTATCTGGATTGAAAATTCCTGGGTCTTAAAATATTGATTCATCCTATTAAGTGTGTTCTTCATAACTCTTTAACTGGGCCGTCATTGTGCAAGGCCATGCTCTTCTCCTCTCTATGGTTTTGAGTTTTTTGGATGTCTCTCTCTTGCTTTCGTATTGATTTTAGCAAACGTGGGATAAAAGGTTAACATCAGGTGAGGAACGGGCCAAAGTTCCAAAAACTCCAAATTCAATGACCAAGGTTTAAAGGCATAGACGAGTACAAATACACATACAACATACGACTACACACAACATGGGGCTCATGTGGGCGGAACCCACCAAATAGTAGCATTAGTAGTAGTTGTCGGGTTTCTATGACTAGAGGTTTTAAAGGTATCTCTTAATCGCCTTCTAACAATTCATTCATTATTGACCCTTTTTAGGTCATTATTTTCCTAGCTTTTATAGTTTTTAGAGGTGCCAAGTGGATCGGGTCGATCCGATAGGGTAGACCTCACATGGGTCATATCTAAATATTGGATCTGATGGGTTAGGTCCAGACAATGTTGTTAAGTTTGTTTAAGGGTCTTTTTCGGTTTGGTGAGAAAAATGAAGCAATTTGGTGTTTGGGTTGGAGTGGCCGAACTTACACAAAGAAGGCCCGAATCCTATCGAAGTGGCATCAACTATATATATATATATATATATATAACAAAAATTTAAAACAAAAAATTCAAAAAACTAATAAAATAATTTTATACATATATTTCTTTGCTTATGCTGAATATGCCGACGCTTCGATCGAATTTGCTAAAAGCATACTCAAATTTGACCGAAGTGGCCCAAATCTGATTGAAGCAACAGGACCAGGCTTCACTTCTCTTCGATCTAGGCCTAAAATCGGGAAGTGAATTTGACAACATTAGGTCCAAATCCGTATGACTTGGACCCGACTTGGGTCAGGTCTAGATTATCAGTTTGGGTCAGATCTAGGTGAATGTTGACCCTATAAAATGTTATATTTGGATGCTCATACTATGGAATAATTTATCATTGTACTCAACAAAATTTGGATACTTCTATACCATTATTTTGTACATAGAGTATTTTTTAATAAAGATATT